TATGAGGATGTGATGGAGGAAGTGATTTTTGTTGAATATCAAGCGCCTTTTCTAGAAATAAAAGCGCTTTTGGATAGTCACCCATATTGCTATATACTTGACCGATGCTGCTGTAGGAGATAGCCAAATCAGGATAATTCAAAGGTAGATGTTTTTCGAATATTTCATTTGCTTTTCCGTAAAACTCAAGTGCTTTCGAGTAATCACTCGCTTTGTTATAAACTTGGCCAATGCTGTTATAGATGGAAGCTAATTTCGGATGATTTCTCGGCAGAGTTTTTCGGTAGATTCCGAGGGACTTTTCGTAAAGTAAAACTGCGTCTTTGTATTGTTCTTGATGGTCTTTCAACCATCCCAGTTGGTGATAGCTATATGCTTTATCACTGTCGTTGGATGCCTGTTTTAGTAATGCAGTATACAGTTCTTCGGTCTTTTCGACTTGACCTATTTTGAGTAGCAATTTACCCATTCGATACCATCCGGTACCGTCGACCTCTTCTCGTATATGGTCGGTTAATTGGCGGAGTTGTTGGTCATTATCTGATGTAAGTTTAAGATCCACTTGATAAAGTAGACTTTGATTGTTAAGTTGTTGAATGTCACCAATTTGAAAAACTGTATGCATCGAGAAGAGGATTTCCTCTTCTTGCTTGGAATAGCTCACCTCCCGGATGGAAGCAAACGAAGTCGATGAGGCTGTGGGATCAATGGTCATTTGAAAAAGGATACCGACCATATCGGTTATTCCTGAGGCATGTTTGGCGAAATCGAGAGAGGCATTACGGTTTTTACTGGTGGATAAAAAACTATTGAAAGATATAAATCCACCTTTGTTTTTCGCAAGTTTTTCGAAATCTGCTGTTGAAAATCTCTGTCCTCGGTAAACTAGAAAGGCCTCTCCATGATATTGACTGACTTGTGTGCTGTATAATTGTTCGATTTGTCTCTGTACATCACACAGAAAGAAACTCATTCTAATTATGATGTCGCCATCAAGTGCTTTTAAAGCTCGATTGAACATTTTGTATGCAAAGCATTGACGTGTATACCACCAAATAGCCAATGTTGGATGATAAGTGCGTTCAAATTCATCAATAAGTTTGATTTCTTGAACATTGCCCTCGTATTCTTCTTGGTAGAACTTGACCAAATCTTTAACGGCTTGTTGGTCATGTTTCATATTAAGGAGTATTTCCTTGAATATTTGGGTATACATGAAGGCTGGTTCTAACTGATTGAGATTTTCTCTAGAACTTGCTTCATTGGCACTAATAATACTGACTGTTACATTATCTTGATTGCACTGTTTGACAGCGATTTGCAATGCCTGGCATATGGGCTTGATCGATGTGTGAACGCCTTTGATTTTCGGCCAAATTGTGGCCCACACTTCATGACGTTGTTTGTTGCCACAATAGATGTATATGGCATCTAATTTTGGCATGTTATGAATGTCTGGTACGAGATGGTACCCAAGTGCACCAGAGCAGATAACAAATGATGTCTCCTCCTTATTTTCATTGAGGTATTGAATACATTGTTCTGCTGTTTTGAAAGAATCGACTTGATTGACGATGCCACATAATTGCGCAAGTGTGCGTTGACAATCTTCATTTTCTAGATCAATTCTGTCATCGACCCAAATGACTAAGTAATTTTCGATCATGCGTCGTTTTCGTCTCATGACAACCGACGAGACTGTTGGATTTGGTTTGGATTCTTGTCCACCCATTTGAATATATATTGTTTCCTATTCGATCAGTAATGGATAATGGTGAATGATAGATAGCTGTTTGGACGGAGATCACCTCTTCTATTTATGTATGCGATGTCCACTTTTCTACGGCTACTCTACGACGTCAAAGGTGAGAATTTGTTTTGGTTAACGATACACTTTACCTAGTTTATCTTTAGAAAATATGATGGTCAACAACCAATGAAAGAGATATTTCTAACAACATTATTTTATAGTTATTCTTTCTCTCTTTCGCTTGCTCTTTTTTACATGGACTTTCATTATTCCTTTGAGACAAGATAGATAATGGAAGATAAATAGAAACAAAGCACAGCTAAATAAACTGATAAGAATAAGATAGCAAAAAGAAAGATACAGAGGTAGAAAGTGAGGATACCATCATCATAAATTTGTAGGGTGGTGAGATTTTATGTTGGAGAAGAATAAACAATGTAGAGGAACAGCGGATGGAAAAAAATTGGTTGATTTTTGCTGTCTTATATCATATAAGGTAGAATAACAAATACAAAAAATAGAAGGCTGCGAGTGTGGGTATGCGTGTGAGCTGGTGGTAAGTCGGTCGAGAGAAGAGGCATTCACACCCTTGGGTGTAGGTGCGGTGTGAGTGTCAGGGTAGATGTGTTTCTGAGTGGATGTGGCTGTAGTTCAATGTGGATGGAAGTGAGGATGGGCGTCTAGGTAGATGTCAGTGTTCAGATAAAAAGAACACCCACATTTGCACCCTTTCTCAATTGGCACACCTTTTGGTGCGAATATTTTGTTATACTATGCGTTGAAAATCCCGGTCCCACCCGTCTTCCACCATCAAGACTTTCACCCGCCGATGAACAGGGTTGAGTTTAATATCAATCGACAGGTCTTATCGAATGCTATCTGATGCAAATGGTTTCTTAATTGGTTAAGTTCTTACAACGAATATATGATAGAAATTCTTGGTTTTTACTAATAGCAAAGTTTGAAAAGTAAGGTTTTTGAACGTTTAGCGGAGTTTTTCCCAGTAGACGTTCTTCGAAATTTTTGCACCTGACACTATATTCAGTGCACTGTATGGTACAACTAGTCTATTTTTTTGACACAAGTCTGCTGTTGCATGTTTTTGCCAAAACTCCAAATCGACTGCTCACTTTATGAATATATAAGCAAAATATGTCGGAAACATAGCATGTTTAAAGTACCCATATTGTTGCGAATGAGAGGTCAAAACTTCGAACAGATTGAATTTCGAATGATTTTGTTCTCACAGATCGGCGATTCAAAAAGTTGGCTATTTTTGCGTATATCTATGGTACGGTAGTAATTCTTTTGAGAAGTTTTTGCGACGAGATATAAAATAATCAATTGATATTTATGTGTTTTTGCAGAAACTTCTAGATGTTTATTGAATTTTTTTCCAGTATTTATTTAAATAGGCATTTATTATATCTTCTTTTGTTAATATATAAACTGTAAGATTGTCTGTCAAATTGAGGCTATATATTGTGCGTAGTTCTAAGCAATAGACTTATTCAATCAGTCTCTGTTATACTTCGGTATACAAAACCAATATGAAAATAGTCATATTAAAAGCGACAGAGTATAAACAAAGAATAATTTCCTTCTTAGTTGAATTAGAGAAATGGCTATATTCTCAAAACGAATTCGATGACCGTGATATATTCTTCTTACTTTCTTCAAACGAGTTAGAATATAAATCTCCTATTGGAGTTTAGTTGTTATATTGGTTATTAGATACTTGAAACGTTTAACCAAATTAACTTTTTTACTTTTATTTTTTAATTTAGGGTATAATATTACTACCACGTCATGAACGAGTAAAGCTATACTTTTATTAATATCGCGAGGTGAAAGTATAGAGATCAAATGTATATAATTTTTGTCTAATCTGTCAGAAAAAATTCTATTTCCTTACTAATTGCGTCCCAAAAACATATTTTTCAGGACTTTATTTTCTTCAAACTTTATGATAATTAAATCGCAGAGAGCAAGAAAAGTTAAACACCACTCTTCTTGCTTATGGATAAGACAGCTGTGAATATAGCTGATATTGGATGATGACTCAAAATGATAATTAAATAACCAATCGATTCCATTCATTAAAAACGTGTTAATGCACGTTGATAGAGTTCTCGCAGAGATGAATTATTCGATGATTACTTTACAAATGCTTTCAGGCTTTCATCAGCTAATCGTGGAAACATGAATTTTAGAATTGATACGCATTGAGAAAAAAAATACTTATTCCAGGAAAACGAAAATATTGTTACGAAAAAAACGATTTCTGATGAATCGTGAAATCGATTCTCGAATATCATCTAGTTTATTTTTGCATCGTTAGATAGAACATTGATTTAATTATTGAACTGTATATTTTTCATAAGATTTATTTCTCATCTTAACTGAAAATTTAGTGAATTTATAAAAACTGTGTTTGTAGAACTTTCAATATGTTTTTCTCGAGTAAATTATAGTCGGCTCGTCATTTAAAGATTCTTCATTGATATATGATTGACTATAGCTTTGAATTATCTATCGATTCATGCAATTTCAGTTTGATTTAACAAAGATTTTATGGATAAATTTTGCATTGTGCGAATAGCACTAAAAGCCTATTGTTAATATTAGTAGAAAATTGCTTGAAATTTCAATAATGCGATAAAATATTCTTCTTGAATTGAAAACGATTCCATTCAATACTTTCTACAACTTTCAATTTAATGGATCTCTTCAACATAAAACTATTTTCGTGAAAATTAGATTCATGCACATTGAAATATGAGCGTGCAAAAGCTGTTGTCTTTTGAAGGTTTTTCGAAATTTATTAAAGTTTTAGCCAAGATGTGAAATCAATCAAGTTAACACTGTACAGTTCGATAGAGTAATCAATGCTCTATCCAACCATATAAGAAGAAAAACTTCTGAAGTTTTGCAGAAATACGAGCAACTGAAGAAAACTCATACAAATCAGTGAATTAAGTTGTATGTGTTGCATAGAGAATATGACAAGTCTTTTTTTGCTATATGACCTTCATGCTCTGTAAATATCTTTGTTTCTTTATTAATGGCGATTGGTAAGAAGGAAGAGAAAATAAGAATGTTGAGGCTTTTTTTTCTCCTGTCGTTTGAATCGTCTCTGATAAAAAGAAAAAGAACTCATGTCTTGCCGACAAAAACATCAACAGAACGACAAAAAGAAACACATTTGACATAAGTCATATTTTATACGTTTAGTTACTCTGTTGAAAAGATGAATTTGGAATCATTAGCAAATGAATTGTTACTCGATCTATTTGAATATTTTTCCAGCGTTTATCTACTTCAAACATTTTATGATCTCAATACTCGCCTGAACAATCTCATTTTGCATCATTTTCAAAGTCATATTCTTAATTTTCAATCAGTATCAAAATATGATTTTGATATTGTTTGTCAAAAATATCTTCCATCAATATCCGATCGAATAATTTCTCTTCGTCTCTCAGACGATGATGATACTCCAAAACAAATTGATCTGTTCTTTTCATATGGTTTATCTTTTAATCTATTTTCTCATTTAAAATCATTATCCATTTATCATGTTTATTCTTTAAATTCACTAAAAAGAATAACAAATGAATTACTTTATCTTCCTCAACTTACACATCTTAAAATAACTAGACATACGATTGTATATAATGAAATATATGATATTGGAATTATTGATCCTATTGGACGATTTCCAAAACTTGCTTATTGTTATTTAGATATAATAAATGACAATGATTGTTATTTTTTAACACCATCAATGATTTCTTCATCTCTAAAATATTTATCTGTTCCTTATTTGGATTGTAATATAAATCAATTAATATATTTAATTAAATATATACCTTATCTTCAATCACTTAATATACGTATTGTTGATCATGCGACTATTTCACAAATACCAACAATTATATTTTTATCAATTAAAAAATTGAAAGTTCTATTTTTTGGTACGTTAAATGCAATGAAAAATCTTTTACAAACAATGTCAAATTTAGAAAACTTAAAAATTGAAATGGAATCAACTTATATTGATGGTTATCAATGGAAAACTATGATTGAAAATTATTTACCAAATTTAATTCTTTTTCAATTCAAAATGTCAACCTCATTATCTCATCAACAAAATAAAGAAGAAAAAATTGATGAAATATTAAATTCATTTCGTAGTCAGTTTTGGATTGAAAAACATCAATGGTTTGTTCAATGTTATTGGATATCAGCTGATACATCATCAGTCGTTTATGTATATACATTACCATATGCATTTGCGGATTTCTTTTATATCGGTGATGTACGATTAAAATCAACGTGTCCTAATGATAATCAATATTGGTCTTTTGATGCTATACATAATTTGTATTATGGATATGTTTCATATCAAAATTTGTTTTTATCTCATATTCATTTAGATAATATTCATTATTTGGATTTAACTATACCGTTTGATGAATCATTTTGGTCAATGGTGACAACACTTGAACGATTAAATTCTTTAAATATTGTGTCATATGGTAATATGAATCCGATTGATATTCATTCGAAATTACAAATACTATTCGATCGATCACCTCATCTTCATTCATTAAAATTTTTTTCGTGGTTTGCTCAAGATGAATTTCCATTTGATATTAAACATCCATCTATTCGACAACTTGATTTACAAGGACCAAATATTGTTTATAACCAACAACACTGCTTGAAATTAAGTCATTCATTCATCGGTCAACAATGTGAAGTTCTTTTTGTTACTGTTAAACAACGAACAGATATAATTGATTTGGTTAATAATATGAAAAATCTTCGTGCATTAATTGTACAATGTACTAAGCCAGTGTTAATGCAGAAGGAAAATGAAAATCTAATTGAATGGTTACAACAACATTTACCAATGACATGCTCAATTTCAAATTCTATTGAAGTTAGCAATAGTATTCGTTTGTGGATTCGTTAATAAAGCATCTAGTCAATATGAACTATAATCTAATTATTTTATGAGAACCGTCTTAATTGTTAGCGTGAATAAAAAAATAATATAAGCCGCACTAAATGCAAACTTATCAGATCTCTTTTTTATCTTGAGTTTATGGATATACCATTCAATAGAGCTTTACAAACTGCTTGAGAAAATCTCTAATTTATTTTTCTGATGCAATTTTTCACATGAAAATAATACCAAACACTTCATGGGTCCCTTTTTTTCAAGAATAGTCGTTTTGTTTTTAAATAAAATAACTCACTTGAATTCATATTCAAGCCTTGAGATTACTTTTCTCTCACTGAGCGTTAGAAAACTGCATATAGAAAGCTATACTTGAAGATTTCAATTCAAAAACAATTTTTTTTGAGTATCAATAAATAGCGATGTGTCTTCCAGTCTTCCAAACTCATTTTGTAAATCAACCCAATTTTACTGTTGAAGAGATGCATTCATAACTTCACACATGATTAGAATCACCATTCGATAAAGAATTAAAGCACATGCTCCTTTTTGTGATGTATATTTCTTTTTTCGCTCTTGAGACATTTCTTTTTTTTTGTATACTTTGAGTGATTTTGATAAAAAAAATAGGCATGCATCGAATCCAACGTCTGACTCGACTTTGGAAACTAACCAAACAGTTCTGAGAATGTCGAGTATTCAGATTATTGTCCAAGTGGTTCTTAAACTATATAAACAATCATAGAAGTATTCTAAGGTTCGGTTACGGCCGAGTTCGGGTATATCTGAATACTGTTGACTTTCTTTTATGATGCCTGTAGTTCTTCAGGTTTTTGGATCGTTTATTTCACTGTATATAGGTGTATTATTACCAGTTGTGAAATCCTTGCTATTGGCTACACTTCTACGTCCTTTTATTAATTAACTGAAAACAATTGCAGCTGAGAATGAAACTGAATTTGCAGGATTAGGTTCAGTTTATACCTAGAGAAAATCAGAAAAGTGTTTTCTGAAGGACTTCAGGTGGGATATAGGGTATGCATATGAGTGTGGGTGAGTATGTATAGAAATGATTCACATTCTTCACGAAATCATGAACTTTTGGCGCTATCTTATGTTTCAAGTTATACTAGGGAAGATAATATTACACCAAACATAGGCTAATTATATTGATCTGGCCTAAAGGACAGGTCTGCCAGACTGATAGTTGTTTCATATAATGTATGAGTTGCATACCAATATCAATTAAGTCAGTATATTCGATAAAAAAAGATACATTTGTTGATCCACAGTAAATGGAAATATATTTGAGAGTTCCTAAAGCCAACATTATCAAAGCAGAGAACTTGACAACAGATTAATAATCATTAATTCGATGTAATGAATAGGAAAAAGCAGATTAATATTATAAAATGTATGTTTCTTCAACTGTAAACAAAGTCATTTCTTTTCTTTCTTAATGAAAATGTAAGAGTTATAAAATGAATAGGAAATTTATTTTTTCTATTATCATAGTAAATTTTCACTCTTGTGTCTGTTTATATTGCATCTAAAATTGCATGAACTGAAATATTTTTTTTTTGCAGTTGTTTTTGTGTATTTTGTTAAAATCTGGTAATAAAATATAATAACAAAAAAAGAAAATAATCTTGTGATCGACGTTTATCAGAGACTACATATGCAAAAAGAACGTTGACTGACTATCAAGAAAAACAAGATTCTGGAAAGAATAGAGTCAATAAGGTCAATGAATGAAATTCAAATAGAAAAATCACGAAGAAAAAAAAATTATTTTTAGAAGATATTTACTTTTGCTACTGTCAACAAATCAACCTGGTTAAATTAATGAGATACTACATTTTTATTGTAGAAATAGTACGATTTTATTTTCGTTAAGGAAAGAAAGAAATAGAATGTATTTGACGAGAATATGAAATGAATAATAACAGCATGTTTTTTTTTTTGCTTTGATAGTGATTCAACTTCATAGTATGACTTCGTTAATAATATTTTTAGCACAGTTATTTCTCTTAACATCAAGAAAATAAATATGCATTGAGAAATGACTTTTTGTGTTCTTCAAATCAGTAAGCAAACTCATCATGTAACGTAAGAGAGAAAGAGAACAGAGAAAATAAATCAATCATTCCCAACACTTCTTTTGTACATTGACGACAGAGTAAACATGCATCTTGTAATAACCTTGCTTTTCAGCATCTTTTTCCCATATGTCAAAAGTTTGTTACTTCATATCTTCTCATCTTATTCTTTCATAGTATGAATCATGTTTAGGTCAAACTACACTAGTACCGAATTACTATTGTAATCAGAGTAATGATACTGTCGAATTTTCATTGTCTTGGTCACCTCATTCTGCATGGCAATCAACATTAAATTGTGCTTTACAACAATGTCATGTAGGTTCATATAAGCATAGCAACTGTCGTTCATCGTCAACACCTTGCTTCGACTATCTTACACTCTATAATAGTAGTTATTGTGGACCTGGTATACTATGTTCTATTTTGGAGCCATGTGACAATGTAACCTACAGTTGTACATCAAATACTTCCATATGCATCGTTAATTCATGTTGTTCACCACCTGCAATGTGTTTACCATTATCATGGGCAAAGTTGTGTACATCAGGTAAGCACACTCACACCCACACTCTGCTTTGTCTCAAATGTAATTTTTACAGATAATCTTCATCGATTATCTTTATGATACTCTTTGTGAATTTGATTATAATCAAAATGATTGTAAACTAATAGTCTGTAGTAACAATATTACTGAAAGTAGATTTTTTTAACTAAGTAACATTATATGAATGAGTATGGTCCATTTAATAAAATTTTCACATAGATCAGTCCAGCTTAATATGAAAATCGTACCGAGCTATCAGATTAATCGTTTTAAACTGATATGAAATTTGTCGTCCGTTCAGTGCATGTTTGATTAGAGTACATTATCTGAAATATGATTAATAAATAATCAACAGTAACCTTATTTTTCTTTCCATTTTAATTCATGATATTGTCAAGTCAATTTTCATATCTACATCTGTTACTTGATTCAAATTAGAAATAATTGTTTCTTTTGTTGGACTTGTTTTTCGAGTTTTTTTATTCCTAAATTCTTAAAGAACTATCAGTGATACTATAGTAACTTCTCAGCAACAGAGATGAATCATGAATTCTATTGCAGTTTTAAGATTTGTAATATCATGAGTGATGCTTTTTTCGTTCTAATATTCATCGTCATGCATTCATCTTCAGAGAACACTTTACTGATCTAAATGTAGAGGCGAAGCATGTCATGAATAATGGATTATTGTTATATTGAAGATCAAAGAATGGTAGACATTGAGAAGAGATTCCTATCTCTTATTCTATCCAACATTCTTCAATTATATCTGACATAATTTGTACTTAGTCGAAAAATAAACTTAAATGGAAAACTTTCTCTTAGTCAATGAGAGCGCTAACAGTTTTGGTACTAAAAGTCAGAAACAGTGTTTATTCTATAATATGTAAAAATGCTTGACCTTGGAATAGACAATCTTTAGTATTCGATGATAATCTACTTATCAACCTAAATATATCTATATCTATATATATATAGATGATTCTTCTAGAATGGAGTAGTACTGGTAATATGAATACTGCACGATATTGGCACGTAGCATCCGTATTAACAAATGGAAATGTGTTAGTTACTGGTGGACGGAATACTAGCTCTAGTCTCAATAGTGCTGAGTTGTACAACTCATCAACAGGAACTTGGACAACGACAAGTAACATGAATGTCGCCCGATATTCGCACACAGCGTCCGTATTAACAAATGGAAACGTATTAGTTACTGGTGGACACAATACTAGCTCTAGTCTCAATAGTGCTGAGTTATATAATTCATCAACAGAAATTTGGACAACGACTGGTAGCATGAATGGTGAACGAAGTGAGCACACAGCAACCTTACTCACAAATGGAAATGTTCTAGTAGTTGGTGGATATACTAATGGCTTTTTTCTCAATAGTACTGAGTTTTATGATCCATTAACTGAAACTTGGATAATGACCGGGGACATGAATGCTGCACGATGTCGGCACACAGCTTCCATCTTAGCAAATGGAAAAGTATTAGTTACTGGTGGATTTATTAATTTTTTTTCTTTGAATAGTGCTGATGTCTACGATCCATCAGCAAGAACTTGGACAACAACTGGTAGTATGAATGATGCAAGATATTGGCATGCAGCATCCGTATTAACAAATGGAAATGTATTAGTTACTGGTGGATATAACAGTAGCTCTTCCCTAGATAGTGCTGAGTTGTACAATTCATCAATAGGAATTTGGACTACGACTGGTAAAATGAATACTGCACGAACTGAACACACATCCTCTGTTTTAACAGATGGAAAAGTGTTAGTTACTGGTGGACATATTAATGGTTTTTCTCTGAATACTGCTGAGTTGTATGATCCATCGACAGGATTTTGGACAATGACTGATAGCATGACTATCACACGATATGAACATACAGCATCCATATTAATAAATGGAAATGTGCTAGCTATGGGTGGAATGAGTGGTATGCCTCTGAATAGTTCAGAATTATATTAATTATCTTACAAAAATTAACAATAAATAATCTTATATTTTATTTATACTCGCAATCGTGCTTTAAAATATTATAATTTGACAAGGGGAACTATTTGATTCTAACAACAATGAATTTTTTCCTTCGATGTTTTTGCTAAGTTGTCATAAACTTGAAAAATTCCATTTCAAATAGAAAAAGAGTTTTGTTTATATATATATATATTTTTGAATCAGTTTATAATGATAGCAAAAGTGTCAGATGATATGATGATTTTGGTTATATTCAAACAGTGCATTAAATTGCTAATTTTCTGTCTTTAAAAAAAATTTGATTCTCCGTATGCCACTAATCGATGCTTGTTCAGTGCTTTCAGCTAGATTTGAAGCGTGAAATGATGCTTTACTAAATTAAATTTCTAGGGTTTGTCTTTTATCATTCAGAATAGCTCGTCATTGTACATCCTCTACATCAGTAATATTAAGTTTTAATTGAACATTCGAATTCTTTTTAATGTACTTTTAACATGACAGAATTTCAATTTATCATCTCAATCAGCTGAACAATAAGTTGATTAAGGTCTTTAGTAGAGATAGGATATTCATGTTAAGCACGATCTTTGAGTTTTTTTCAAAATAAAAATAGATTTAGTTGTCAGCATATACCGATTTTTATGTAAGAGTCATTACCAATGCTGATACAATTGCTGAACATTAGACAAGATTGTAACAATAAATTTCGAAACTTCTAAACACAACATCTCGACTATATGATTTTTTCAAAATCGCCATACTTTTTACAATACCTATGAAAAAGCATCTATATTTTGAGAACTTCATCTTTCTACGTATGATGTTCAAAAATTTTGAAATTCTGTTTACACGATAGTATAATCGAACTCTTTATTTAGATAAAGTTTCAGATCAAGGTTCGATAATGTGATTCTGCTCAAAAAATCGGACAATGTAGAAAAAATCTACTCAAAATTCGATATGTTCGTCAAACCTAAAAAGCGACACCCATTCTTTAGAGGCTATTTAACTATCACATGTGTTCGAGAATACATTCATATGTCAATATATTTCCTTGGTTTTTTTTTATAATGATCATTAAGACGCTGTCGATTTGAATTTAGAAGATACGATGACATAAGTATTCTGTATTGCAAATAGAGAAAAACAAGGTTTAAAATCAAATCTTTCAATGAAACTTGAGAATAACTACAAATGACTATAAATAATCTAAATTCACCGACAAACATTAGTAGAGAAGTACAATAGAGAAAGTTTTTCAAAGTTCTTCATTATAAACGAAAATTTTCCCATAACTAATACATGCAACGTTTTTCAATACATTTAGTTTGTAAATCTTATGAATAAAAGGTGTTTTTTTTTAGATTATAAGAAAGAAAGTTGTCTCATTATCCAATAAACTTCCAGTCGAATCATATTTTTCGGCTAATAAGTGATGTAGCATAACCATTCTTTCTTCCTTTGTGAAAAACAATCTTTTTCTGTATTCTATCATTGCAAGTTCATAAGCGCTCTCATTAAATCCAAAAATAAATTCAAACAAATGAGAGTGAATAAATAATTAACAAATGTATAGTGATTTCTTAAGTCAAGTTATTTTCTGTTTATTGATAAATAAAAAAAACTAAAATTATAATCGACAAGTCAACCTTCGATAGACTCTTTTCATAAAATCAATCGATGCTTTCCGAAAAACTGTTCCACCACTTAATGTATAAATATAAAATGGCATACCACTTGCTATAAATGCTAGAATTACTTCAATATTATATAGAAAATGATTCATGGCATCTTCTTGTTTGCTAAGTAAATTAAATGGTTTAAGTGTAATATAAAATTTTTGTACTGCTTGTGGAGTACAGAATAAAGTTAAAAGAAAAACTTGTACTAATAACATTCGAAGTAAATGACGATCAACTTTTTTTATTCTTAATTCTTCTGTTCTTGATGGTATAATTGTTGATATAGTCGTTCTTGTACGTACACGAATATGAGAACGATGTACATTTGAAATAATCATTAAACCAAATATAATCATTAAACTTAATGGTATTATAATTGTTATAATAGAATAAATTAAATCAGTTATCATACGGCATTCTACTGACTTTCCATAACATTTTAATGGTCCATCATTCATATTAGCTTTATAACAAATAATCATATGAATATAAGAAAGAATTGAGAGAATTACAATGAGAAATATTTCTCGTTTAACATTTTTCAAATTACCCATTTGTCGATGATGAATTTTAACCGATGATAATAACCATCGATCAATCGTAGCCAATGTAATCAACCATATTGCCATTGTTCTTGTACTAAATACAATAAAAACACGAGTTTTGCATGTCCAGTCAATTGTATTTGTTGGATCAAGATGCCAACCAGCTAATATTCGAGTAGGTAAACCAACTAGAATTGAAATAAGACCAATAAATGATGAAACCAGAAAAAGTAATGCACATGGATTTGATCGAAGTGTTCGTTTTGATAGAATAAGACAATTCAGAATGTTTCCTACTACACCAAATAGAAATATAATAGGTGCTAAATATCGATTGAGTTGATCAGATATTAAATATAATGATTCAATAACTTCATCTGTCATTGTATATGTTTTTGGTTAAAATAAAATATGAGATATGAAGTATTCTTTATAAAAAGCAAATTATTTTAGAATCTAAAATATTTTCAATAATACAATTGATAATAGAATAAGTGGTAAGAGGACAGTAACGAGCAGACCTTATGAGACTCTTTGTTCTGCACTCAAGAAAAAATTGAGATTTTCTTAAAGCTTTTTGTGTTGACGACGTTTTCAACTTGTTCTAGAAAGCATACTGAGGAAGATCTTTCATTCTGAGAGGTGAGTAATAAATATCAATTTCCGTAATGTAAGCACAGTGAATTTCTTGAAAGAGAAAACTACAAATATATTAGCCAATGACAGAATTTTTATAATTACAAAAAGTAACTCTTACTAAATCATTTTATCTTACCTTTTAAAGTAATCTTATCAAAGTGAATAGCATTAATTGAACTTCTTTATTTACAACTTTTATATATGTCATTTGAATATTTTTTTCCAGTAGGCATCCTCTTCATTGAAGCGAAGTTCCATCTTTAAGAAAAGTGATTAGTTCAACATCGTGAAAAGCTATTGTTCTGCTTTCAAATTAAAAATCTTGTGTGAATACCCATGTTCATCTAATCAATAAGTCCATTTATTTCAAAACAAAGTGAAAAGCTTTTTATTTTTTTATATTTATACGCCTATCGTAATATATGTTCCATATATGATCTGTGAGCTTTGTAGATTAATATACAACATTATGTGCAATTCTGAACTTATATGTGAAATCGAAAAATTGAACTCAATTTTTAAGTATTGTATACCTGAAAATATGAAATTTAAATATTCAATTACAAATAGGATATTTTAGATCGGGATTTGAGTATTTCTCGCAGTAATTCGCTGTACCACTGACTACGAATTTCATTTTGATCGACCGAAGTAGAACTCGCACTCTACAAGATGTACTAATTTATTTTTCATTTTTATCAAACAAGTCACAAGACAAATGCGAATTTTGCCGCAAAAAGTGGAGATTTTTTTCGTATTTCTCATTACGATTCATCTATTGACTGATCCTAGTTCTCTATTTGATGGATTCAAGTAGATTTTGACAAACTCTTTGAAATTCTCTAATTTTTGTCCAACTCCCATAAAATTATCATTGAGAAAAACCTCAAAAACGTGACGTAACTACATGTAGCATATACATAACGATTAAATAAGTATTTGTTTAATTTTGTTTGTCATCCGATTGGATCCGGATTTGAAATTATTGGAATTTTACTTGTAGATGAATACTAATGTACTATCCTCAATAAGATAGTGCGAGACTATGTAGATGTTACGATAGTTTCTGCTGACACCTACTTGAAATGAAAATACGTGTAGTGTTTTTTTTATCATTTTTTCTTACTTTTTCCACCTTTTGTGAATCGGGAAACTTCATTATTTGCAAACTTTTTATCTTTTGTTAATCATTGTTATTGTCTTCCAATAGTTCAAAAGCATTTTTTTGTAATTCATCATCTGTATCAAGCATGTCGTGCATGAAACTTTGAATTTTATCAATCATTTTTCTCTTTTTGATTGCCACACATCTGATGATGTTAATGAGAATAGATATTAACAAGAGAAATTTAATTGATAGAATAAATGTTTCGGTTATCAGTGTACAGATGATACACATATATGTGAAACACTGTTGAAGTTTTTTTAAATGATGATTCTATGAAAATTGGACAAAAGTTAGCACATTTTATAAAGGTCGTCAAGATCTACTTCTGTTCATCAAGTAGAGAGCACATCAAATTAACAGGTGAATCGTAACGAGAAATACACAAAAAGCGCATTTTTTCGGTCAAAATTCACTTTTTTTATGATTTATTTGATGAAAATGAAAAATACATTAGTGAATTTGTAGAGTACACACAGTTCTACCTGGATCCGTCAGAATGAAAGTTAGATCCAATTGTACAGTGAATAGCGACGGGAAATACTCAAATCCTGACCTACGATATCTACTTTCAATTTACTCAATTATTTATCTATTTCATTGTGGATGTCATCGCAGACTAGTTAAATATTTGAAATTGTTTTCAATAATTGCATTCAACTTCCAGGTTTAAAACTATTTATTTTCCAAAGCATAATCGATTGTATTCTGCTCAAAGTTTTCTGTCTTTTTTAATAGTATTTTTCAATCGATTGAATGCTGATACATTCTGTTTTTAGAGTCACTTTTTCGAAATTGCCGAAGTCAAATAAGCTATTCTATTAGCTTTGAAATTCTCCAGTAACCATCGGTTAAGTATTATAACTTGCATAATGTTTCTTCATATAAGTGAATGTATCTTTTACTGTGCAGCTTGAAGCATTGTTTCGTAAAGAATCATGCTTTATTCCGTAGAATCACGAAACAAAAGTGGGACATCATTCATATTCGGTACATTATTCTCTTTGATATTCAGCATAATATCTACTAATTATTCTTGAACTATATTTAATAGAATGCAATTGAATTTTACCATATGTGGTGCTAACAACATCCCAAACTTTTTTTATCGAAAATATTTGACGTTTTCTCTACAACGTTATGAAACTTTTTATAATTAATCATTTGCTTATCAAAAATATAAATATCATGACAACATCCACGGTATTATAGAGATCAAATAATATAAAAATAATTAGATCTAGTATCTGAGTTACTCATGAAAAAAAAAACAAATTTCGAATATATTTTAATAAATTATTTGCAAAACTTTGAAATCAACAAACAACATTTACTTTTGTATTGTTTTTGATGAAAACAGAATGCACTTTGATGAGATAAATACATTTCAATAACTAGATGGTATTTGAGTTTCAACTCGAATACGAAATGAGATGGGAAGCATGAACTTCGATATTTCAGAAAAATAATATCTGATAAAAAAAATGATTCTCAACTGAATATCGAGTGCCGTCACGGTCAATCAGTCGATCAAAGTGAAGACTGACTTGAACAGTAGCCATGATAAAATTCACTCCTACAAAAATTCTATCGACGCCTATCGACATATTTCTAAAGAATAGTTTCGATTGATAGCTGTATTTACAGCTGTTTGACACGTGCATAGACAGAGTGGCGCCAAGCTTTTGTTAATGTTTTCGTTTTCACTATCCCAAAACTAAAAGAATATAAACATCCTGAAAATTTGTCATTTTCGAAACCTGTTTTTGAGAAAACCGAACATGCTTTAGAAAAGAACTCAAAAGAAGGTATTGGGTCGATCTCGATAGTTGGACTTCGCGTTTGAATGACTATTTTCGAACTTTTACTATTCGAGATCATTGCGTCACAAAATGATAAGTTTTGATGTGTACGTCGAGTAAGAACGAAACAAAAAAAGTAAACTCGCGAAGGACTACATAATTGCTGTGCTTTGCACCGCATTTATTACCTATATAATATAGCCAATCAAAGAATAGACATAATTATGAGATAAACTTCTTAGTCTTTGTTTAAAAAACCCTCATCCATCGCTAGTCTGCATTTTAGATAATAATTTTATATCTAGTCGATCCTGAAGTAGTCCTGAATGAGTGTTTCTCGAGAGAAAGACTATACTATACATGTGTAATGCTGTCCGTCCATGACGGTATCGAGATGAGTTTCAAGGACGCAGCAAACTTCAGACTATTCTTCAACAAGAACTTTTTAAAACGAAGACTAGGCATATCAGATCGACGTGGCTACACTTTAAAAAAGAAGAGTTTTCTCGAGAGCAGAGCAAAATAGGCTTTCGAACTTCGAAAGTCCTTAAAGGATTTCAGATAGGGACAAAACCAAAACCTTACAGAATTTCTGAAAGTTGAAAACCCATCAGGGTTTGCAATCTTGTCACTATCTGAAACGTTTTTTAGAATTTTCCAAGATTGGAAATTCATTTTTCCCCTTTGAAAAACCTTTAAAAGGCTTTTGAGCAGGACTCGGAAGAAAGTATCAGTACTTGTACTTTTCATACTTTTTCAATTAAAAGTATAAGTTCCAAGTACTTTTTTTTCAAAGCACAAGTTGAAGTACCAAGTACATCTGATAAGTACTTCTACTTCGTATTTTTTAGTTGGAATAAGAAAGAATGGATTTGGATTATTTGAGGCATCGTTCTGTTTCTTTTAACTCTTCATGATAGGCTACAGATCCTCTGATACATTTCGCTTATCAGAATTCAAAGTTTAGTTATATATTCTGCTTTTCATTCTCATCTATCTCTGACTTAGACTTATTTCGGTTCTTTAATCTATAATCGTATCCAAAAACATGACAGTCACTCAATAGCTATTCAAAAATATGACGTGTATTAAAAGACAAGATCATTCAAAAACGTATCAATAAAAACCATAAGTGTTAAAAAAACAACTTATAAAAATAGAAACATAACAATACATTAAAATTAAGAGGATCTTTAGAACTATTATCCATTTCAAAAAAGAATGAACTCAGTTGTTTGTTGAGTAACTCGGCAACGCTGATAGCTATCGAGCTCGGGTTTTTGCCGTTAGAAAGAGCATGAGTGACTGTACACGTCTACCTGAGAATTAAAATACTTGAACATATTTCTAGAGGATTCCATCGATTCTATGGAAAATCACTGTACGATTCGCTTAAGTAGATGTATTTTCGACTTCAATTTAGCTATATTGTAGCTCAATGTCTACCAGGTAGGCTGTGACATTTTGAAGGCGCTTTCGACCTTTCCTCAAAAAATGATGACCATTTTACTGAATTAGTGAAAAATGAAATTACGGAATTTTGAACTAAAAATTTGCCCATACATAGGTCTAATGGCCCATAGGATATCCTAAAAGTTTTACCCAAAAAGGATGTTCATTTCTCGAGATATGGGATTTTCGAATTTCACATAAAAATATACCTACTCAAGCGAACCATACAGTGGTTATCTATAAAATCTCTGGAAAACTACTAGAAAAATTTTCAGCTATTTTAATTCTCAAGTAGACTTGGACCTCCACTCATGCTCTTTCTAATGGCGAAAATCCGAGCTTGATAGCTATCAGCGTTGCCGAGTTATTCAACAAACAACCGAGTCCATTCTTTTTTGAAATGGATAATACCTCTTAAACCGAGTTCTGCTTTATATGCTAGAATGCCAAACTTTCAGATACTTCTACATTCAAGGACGTTTGTCTTAGTTACAAAATAAACCTGCTAGCCAAAAAATGCGCTGAATTGATGCAGATGATATGTGTTCGCATAACACTCGTACGACTATATTTTGTAAACAATATGAATCGGAAATTTTCCACTATGATGAAAACTTCGGTCGCACTGCATCAGGAATGAAAAGTATTTAATTTAGAAACAATGAGACTTTGGATTGATTGGATGGCTTAGAAATAAATCACTGGACTTTTGTTAAAGCAAATTTTAATCCTCAAAGTATTACATTTGCTAAATTGTTAGTGAAATATAAAAATAGATCGGATAAACAATATTTATTTAAGTTCAATATTGTTAGGAAGAAGTAATGATTTCAACCATATTTTCACATAGGTTCAGCATATATTAAAGAAATCTTTCATCAACATTCCATATTCAAATTCTTCCAGTCAATATTTAAAAAGTCATATCGATGATTCGAAAATCCAGCGAAGCAATAATTTGTCGATGCTTGTAGAGCATCGATTTGAATCCACTTTAATTCTTCTGAATGTTATGAAGAATTTTATTGATTAATAATAAGGATCTATGAATGAACATCATCATTTATGAATATTATTCATCATTTTGGAGAAACTCGAACAATGAAAATAGACGATTTTCACAAGTGTCTCGCAGTGACTTCACAAACATATGAAAGAAAAAAAAATTGCATTAACATATCTTATTTTCATACAGCTTTTGATCAGATGATATCACAGTGGTCCTGAAAACTTTATTAGCAGCAGTCAACATTACGAGTACAGAAGCAACTATACTTGTACAACGACAAAAGTACAAGTATATTTTTTGAAGTGCAAGTAAAATACTTTTACTTGCTGTACTTGTATTTGTTCTAGCTCTTTTTCCAAGATCAGTCCGAGAACCTGTTTTGATTTATGAATGTACGAAACCTATTGTGATTATTTTCCGAAAATACCTATTTTTTGTCGAATACAGAAAAAGTATTCCACATTTAGTCGATGCTTGGCTCACTGGGATTAGGAAAAGGTGTTTTTCTTGAGATAAATAAATAAAGTATACATTTACGACAAGATTGATCTGTTTTAAATGGTTTGATAGTTTTTTTAAGGTAATAATATAATTTTGTTCGATTATATAAAAGCTTTTTTGTAACTAATTGATATTCACAAAAGCAACAATAATATATCGATATTTCAATGGAAGATTAAGTGCCCAACTCTTTAGCATTGTTGTGAATGACGTTCTTGATGAAAATTCTTAATCTTATGCACTCATATGGAATGATAGATTCATTGTTCTGTGTAAGTGCATTAAAATGTATTCATTATATAAATGCTCTGAATGAATCATAACACACAGTATGTTATGATTTAGTTTTTAATATTTTTCTATAAATTTATTTTAGATCGAACTGAGAAGAAAACTCTATATTCGATTTTGCTTCACTTTCTCAAAAGTGCAGTTTGAAATCTATTCGACATCAAATAATAATCAATTCAAAATTTTTGCTTACTTCAACGGTAAATTGATTAGTCTAGAATTGATTGATTTAATGAATATTTTTCTTATCGATTCAGTGGACTTTGTAATTAACGCCATTCGATTGAAAATCGACAAGATTCAAAAGTTTTTTTAAATCAAATTTACTTTGAATTGAAATAAAATTGACAATTCAAATCACTCATAGCTACATAGTTCTTCATCCCATCCAAGACAATTAATTCATGGCAAATGTATCTCATACAAAATTTGCATCCAATATAAGCTATAAAATAATTTTCTCACATTTACTTTTACATTTAATTGCGCTGCTTGTTAACAATTAAGCTCTTTGGAAATTAATTGGCAACATTAATTGATACTGAGAGTAGGGAGATATCATCAACGAGAGAAACAAACAACCATTACAGAGTGAAAGCCTTGATTATTGTTTTAAATTAAAGTATATTTTATCTCATAATGACCAAAAAATGGTGATATCTATCTGTTAGAAAGTTCATCTTGCCGTTCCATATGAGGAAATCAACAGTCTAAATAATTAAAATTCATATCGGTTTACCATAATGTATATTTTAGATTTTCTCAAAAAATCATTTGTTTTTAAATTTTTATATTGGATAGCTGGTATGTCTGTGATATTCTTATCACTGTTACATTTTATTTTTTAACCCTTTCAGTTCCGGCTTTTTTTTGCGAAAAATTGAAAAATCGTCTTTTTTTTAATTTTTAATTTAATTTAATTTGTATTTCTCATTTCAAAGAAAAGGAAATATGTACAGTAGCCGACAAAAGTCTCCACCCACCCAGATCTCAGCCACTACAGGTAGTGGAGATCTGAAAATTCGTGTTCATATAATCCACCAAGAATTTAGATCATAGCCATGAGCTTACTCCGATTGCTTCAATGCAATAAGAATTATAATGATAGCAGCCTTTTTTTGATGCAAGATTTTTGACCTGTAAAAACTGTCCACTAAATTTTGCACCGCTTTTTATCAAATACATGATTAAGTTTCGATATTTTACTATATAACTGAAGAGTAGTGTAAGGTCTTTCTTCACTCAAAAGATCATGCTATTCGCTGCAAGATTGCTGTCTTTGGAAATATCTGAGTCGTTGGAACCAACACGATAATGCATGGCACACCATTTCTCTTTGGAAGATGCTTCTTGTGTGAAGCTTGTAGGCAATAATACTCAGCTACAAGCAAAGTTTCTCTAAAAGTTTGAGCTTGATTTATTGAAGAATTACTCAATTATGTTCGACACAGTGCAATAGGGAGTTTTTCACCCTTCGAATAGTCACAATGAAATGCTCATAGTTCTAACTAGTTCGGATTTATGGACTTCGATGAAATTAATAGTGTAGATAGCTAGAGTATAGCTGTGAATAATGAGGAATCAGCTGTCTCATAAAGTCCTTTCTTTTCTGATCCATAAACTTCAAAGGAAAAAAGAAGTGCTATCCATTACTATCCGCCATAATTCTTGGTGGATTATATGCACACGAATTTTCAGATCTCCAGTACTTGTGGCAGCCGAGATCGGGATGGGTGGAGACTTTTGTCGGCTACTTATAATGACATGATGGAATATCCCACAGAACGAAAGGAATATACCATAAAAAAGAAAAAGAGGAGATGACAACATAGGACAATCCAATATACGCAGAACAGTACTAAAGGAAAATCTCAATGTCGAATGTCACTATATCACAGAAAAGGAGATTGTGGGGTTTTGTTCATGTAAAAAAATAGTAATATTATGTATCAATTTGAAGGTATTGCTGATGCCTATTGAATTGTAAAATCAGTTTAATTCCATACATTAATATTGAAAAGAAAAACATGGGTGACGCCTTAAGTCGCCGCCGGGACTGAAAGGGTTAAGAAAGTTTTTAAAGTAATTTTTTTGAATTATGCAATCCAATTTCATAAAAATAAAGTGTGATATTAATTAATGACACCAATATACCATCTTTTGTTTCACTAGCCGTACTAAATTCATAAATGCTTTCTGAAAAACACTTCCACCAGCTAATACATAAATATAAAATGGCATTGCACTTGCCATAAAAGCTAGAAGTATATCAATGTTATAAAGAAATGTTTTGACAGCATCTTCTAATTCCGATCCAGAACCAAACGGTTTAAATGTAATGTAAAATTTTCCAATAGCTTGTGGAATACATAACACTATTAGTAAAACTATTTGTAATGTAAGCATACGAAGTAAATGACAATCAGTTTTCTTTGAATGTAGATTTGCATGTCTACTTCGATCAATAGTTCCTAAATTGCTTCCTGTATGTGCCACACGACTATGAAGATGATGTACATGTGAAATAGTTAATAGACCAAATACAATCATTAAAATCAATGGAATTATTATAGACAGTATTACATAAGTTAAATCCGTAATAAGACGACATTTTTCTGTTTCTTCGTAACATTTCAATGGTGCATCAACATTATTAGCTTCGTAACAGGGAAACATATGAATATAAAAAAGAATCGATAGAATCACAATGATAAATATTTCTCGTTTAACATTTTTCAAATTACTCATGTGTCGACGATGAATATCAATAGATGATATTAACCATCGATCAATCGTAGCTAATGTAATCAACCAGACTCCCATTGTTCTTGTACTAAATACAATAAAAACACGAGTTTTACAAATCCAATTGATTGTATTTGTTGGATCAAGGTGCCAACCAGCTAATATTCGAGTAGGTAAACCAATTAGAATTGAAATAAGATCAATAAATGATGAAGCAAGAAAAAGAAATGCACATGGATTTGATCGAAGTGTCCGCTGTAATAAAACTAAACAATTCAAAATATTTCCCACTGCACCAAATAGAAATATAATAGGTGCTAAATATCGATTGAATTGATCAGAGATAAAAACTAATAATTCAATAGATTTATTATCCATTGTAAAAGTTCTTGTTTAAGATCACTTATAAAATCAAAGAGTATGTTAAAAAAGAAAATTGAAAACAAATCTAAAATGTTTTCAAGCAAATAAAAAGACTAATGACAAAAAAAAATATTATAATCTGAAGTGCTTATATTAATGACTGTGTGGTATCATATACATGTAATCCAAAAAGTATCCGGACACTTCCATGCATTTTAGTACTTCTTAGTTTGCGAAGCAGAAACAAGAGAAAAAATTTTTCTTTTTTCACCAGTAGATAGTCTTTACTTCGAACTAGATTCTCTATAAAAATCAGTAACTTTGACTATCATCTTAAATTATGGAAACGTTTCTCATGAAACTGTCCGATTTTCCAATATGTTACGTGCTTGCTTTTCTGACATCAGAATTATATTATTTGCCCACGACCAGAACGAGCAAAGCGAGCTCTATCTGTTGGCATAATATTTCAATGAAAAAAGATAATTTTCACAATGTAAACTATTTCAAAAGAAATCAGATTCTTGAACATGCTATAATACCACAGTGGGACTAAATGATCACAATGAATTTTTCCTCAAAATCAATCTCCAGATATACCGCTAAGCCTATCAAAAGCTGCACAGAAGTAAGTGTTTTAAAAAACTTTTATTGCTAAAATTTAAAGTCAGAAGAGGAATATTGTATATGAATATTGATGTTATATGCCATCTGTGAAAGAATACACAAGTATCTTCAAGATTAATTTCAATGAAAAATTTATTATGATCTTTTAGTCGCACTATGGTATTAAAGCATGTTCAAGAATCTGATTTCTTTTGAAATAGTTTACATTGTGAAAACTATCTTTTTCATTGAAATATTATGCCAATAGATGGAGCTCACTTTGCTCGTTTTAATCGTGTGCAAATAATATAATTCTGATGTCAGAAAAGCGAGCACGTATCATATTGGAAAATCGGATATTTTCATGAAACGTTCCCATAATTCGAGATGATAGTCAAAATTGCTGATTTTTATAGAGAATCTAGTTGGAAGTAAGGATTATCTATTAGTGAAAAAGAAAAATTTTATTTTTTGTTTCTGCCTCACAAACTAAGAAATGCGAAAAAACATGGGAGTGTCCGGGTACGTTTTGGAGTACTGGTAGTTCTTAATTCGGCTGTAGAGAAAGTCATCAGCATTTTCTCAAGTTGAGATAAATCGAATTTGCACTGATAAATAACATGTATCGAAATTAAAACTCTTTTTTTCTGAACAGTAAACATGCACTAATAGTCTTCACAATATGAGGGTCACATATTTACCTTAAAAAATTAAAAGAATTAGAAACTAACTATCATTATAATTATGTATATGGGGTAATACGAAATTCGTTATAATCTTTAAATTGGTTGTCTGTTTCAAAGGAAATTAAAAGAGGCTTATCGGAGTAGAAAAGATTACGTCACCTAATGGAAACATTAAAATAGCTCCTTATGTTTTTCAGCACTTATTCATGTTAGTCATGAATTGGTTATTAGTTTCAATTATGTTCGTTGACAAGAAAGTTTATGCCGAAAGCAAACTTCATTTAAATTAAAGAAAAGCTTTTGCCGCACTCATATAGTTTAGATGAACAAGCAAGACTCATTACATCCTGTGGATTAATATATCTGAAATAAAGACGCAATACTATTTATATCCTACACACCGATTAGAATCATATTATGGTGTTATATTTAGCTTCAAAAGAAAAAAGAAACTAGAAATATATTCATTACGTATTTTTAGAACTTCATGCTATTTATTCAAGATAGACTGTAACCTTCAATTTTAGTCAATGTAATTAGAAAAAACAACATATTTCAAAGAATGTGAATACAATGAGAAATACGTAATTTTTGCTCTACTTTTCAATGAAGATCTATCACGTATTTATTTTCCTACTGAATAATATCAGAGACAGTTGATCAAAAAATAGATATATCAAAAGTCATCAGGTTATGAGAAATTACCTTATTCTACAGAGAAAAAAAATCTTCATCAACTTATAGTTCATGTACTTTAACGATTGAACTAATGCGAAGAAAAAAGTAAAAGTGAATTATTAGTCTTTATGATTAAATGCAACTAGGAGAGTAATATTTTTCTTTTCAAAATGAACTTTCTTGCAAAGTAAATAAATTTAAAATAAATTTCTATGATGAATTTATTTAATATTAACCAAAATTCTTTTCGTATTTCTGAGGATCAAGATATAGTTTTGTTTCAGCTAAAAAACTAATACCTACATTGATTGTAGTCTTTTCAAAGCTAATTGATAGTTTTAGAAATAACAGCATATATCTTAGTAGTGCTCTAGAAAACATTTTATATTAGAAGTGTCACTAAGAAAGATATTCATGATGAGAAAAAGAGTTCCTTGATTTTTATGTCATGTCATTAAAATATAAATTCATTCTTCCATGTCAATGCATAAAGATGTTTTCAACGACATTTTCCATCATGCATTTAAACATATCAATTAATCTGCATCGTGTATTGAATCATCTCCTCTCGCTTCTATTACTTTTTTCATTTTTAATTTGATTAGATTTACAATCATATCGATGTAGTCCGAGATAATGTCTAGTAATTCGAACTAATCTTAAAATGCATCTACAAGATTTATTACGAATGATTCCCGATATATATTTGTTATAAATCTTTATCTTAAAAATTTTTATTATATAGAGAAAGTCTTAATTTTGCCTAATCACAGAGATTGAGGTGACTAACGAAAGTAATTAGTTCAGAGTACTCGAAAAAATTGTCGCGCTGAAAGTTGTTTTAGTGCATGAGTATTTCTAGGCTTCTGAGTGGATACTTAGTCCATAGACGATGACGTTTTTCGAAACTATTTTTACTAATTAGCTACGCTGTCAAAAACTTGAAAGCTAAACGAATGAGTGTAACTGTTTTAAAATGTGTCGTTTACATGCACGATGTGCTTTCAAATGCCATACCTGTGAACGCGTCACAAAAGAAACTAGTTAAATGCTCGATTACACGCAATCTGGGGTCGGATTGATCTTATATGTTCTGCATGCTATAATTCCTATATTTTCTAATATCTCCTATACCTTATATATATTTTAATCAATATTTGTATGTTATTTAGAATTTTGAAAGGTTGTATCAACATATAAGAAAAAACGGAAGATCGACCAAAATCTGAAAGAAATATAGAACAACCAAAAATATAGGTATATAGGAATTATAGGTCAAATGCGACCCCAGCATGCAATGAAAATATGGCGATATATCTGCATATTATTATCGCATGCAGAACACACAAACTTATTTAAAAGGAATCGTTGCATACACATGCATGAACACATTGTAGTGTNGTATCATTTATGAATCTGAAAGTTAACATTTATAGTTTTAGGTCTACATTTCTGCTCTGCACCATAAGTAAAACTTCACGTATATTAAGATATATAATGTGGTCGGGGTGGATGTGTAGGTATAGTTATGCATGTGGATTTTCTCTTAAACCGCACTAGTACATTCACACCCACACCGATTCGATTTTCAATCGATGGCGACTTTCTCGGTGCTTCTCCTTTTCACGCAAGCAGCAATATATCTGATTTGTTGCCTTGACTGTTATCTTTTTCTTGGTTTATTCCAAATGCTGATAGCACAGTAAATATCACAAACTTTTAGTTCTCAAATGTTCATCAATTGAACAAAATCCATTCGATAAGGACTTTTTTTTATAATGTTCTTTTAAAACATGTATCCGTACCAAACAACAAGTACAATATATCTTCATAAAGTAAGACAACAGTTGAATAACATCAAAAAGCTTATAATTCAAATAAAAAGTATAAAAAGAAAGAATCAGTATCAAAGCTAACTTTGCTCGTTTGGAAGTCTAGTTTTTCCTAAAACGATAAATAAACTTTTAGAGAACTTTATAAACGTATAAAAATAACTCTAATATAGTTAACCTTCTAGTTGTTGAATTTTGATGATGGTGACTTCGATACAGATGAAGAAAACCGACATTTTATGTATATGAGTACAAAATACTATCTTTTCATTTTTAATTAACTAACATGAATCTTGTTAATAGATTTCCATGCGCAAGTGTTGAATCGATCGCATCACAGCGCATTGGTTGCTCGTGAGTGGTATCATTTAAAATCCTAGTTTCGTCGAAGTAAACTAAGCAATACATCTCTTGGAATAAGCGTACCAGTAGCGCTAGACTTTTTTCTAGAAACGATGGAAAACTATGATGGATCATGGCATGTTTTAGAATACAATTTTACATGTTATTTTGTGACATATGTCTCCTAGCTAGCTGTAGACTAATGAGGAAATGAGTACGAAAGACACTTAGTAACCAGGTATATCATTATGTTACTTATGAATAATTTTCCGAGAAAATCAGAAGTCAACGATGGAGCCATAATAGCTCTTTACTTTCTACAGAACTACTAGTCAGAAAAAACTGATAAAACTTTGAATCAATTTTTGTGAATTTTTCCTGCGAAAGAATGACTTTTCTCTTTCGCGATCAGGAAGTTTTAGCTTAATATTCTTTTAGTCATAATTATTAGTGATTTCGACCACTAAATAAAGTATCGGAAATGCAAAACTAAAGCAGAACTTTTTCTTATTTTTATAAATGGTCGGATAGAGTGTGACGAGCTGATCAAGAATATATGTATTGTCATTGTTTTGGAATGGGTTTTTAGAAGAAAATTTCAGTTTTCTCCAATGACCTACTTTTTCTGGAAAATAGGTCAATTTTTTTTTCTTTCCTTCAAATGTCAAAAGCGTTTGTTTCATATATTCAGCGTGAAAAACTAAATCTAGAAAAATCATTTATAAATGACTTTACTAAATTCAATTTTTCTCATTGAATCGGAAACAAACACTTCTGAAGTTTGAAGGAAAGAAAAAAACTACCGATTTGTCGGTTATCGGCAATTAACATCTTTTCCTAAGTATGTCATCAGAAGAAAACTGAAATTTTTCTTCCAAAATCCTAATTCCAAAATAAAACACATATTTCTGATCAGCTCGCCACGCTCTATCCAATCATATACGTAAAGAGAAAAAAAAACTTCTGCTTTAATTTTGCATTTCCGGCACCTTACTTAGTAGTAGCGTTGATATACTAAAGTGCTTGATATTGCCAGATATTCACTCTTAAAAGTTACAAGATTTTAAAACACGAGCACGTGTCAACAAATTCTGGCCGGCGGTTTGATTCTCCATTCTCAGAATTAGCGGAGAAAATGAGAGCAGAAACTGTTGAGAAGAATCAAATATTAGAATCATTTGAAATAACAAGAAAAAAGAAGGACTGTTACGATGACATCCAAGCTATTTTCATTCACATTTTTTCCTGCTATACAAAAGGAGCGATGTAGTCAACGCTCAACTTGCTTTTTTTTCTCTTCACAGTTGTGATGGAGACCAAACACGTCTTCATTATTTTTTTTCCTTCTATGCTCATTTACATCGTTTCTTTCTTGGCTATATTACTCTACAACAGGACATTTTAATTGTCGTTATACACATCAACTTTGAACGTTAGTACGATAACAATAATGGACACATTTATTCGACACTTAACACACGATAATGAGGCATTTCAAGATCAATGGCCCAACACATTTGATAAACTACATGAACTAATTGACAATTGTGAAAGAAAAAATACGAATATTTTAGTTTTTAAAATGAAAACATTGGATGCTATCGTAGATTATATACTTGCCGAACCAATTGCTTCTGAGATGTCGGTTTATGCCAAAATTGCTCTTATTAAATTGATTTTAAAATTTATTATCGATGATCCATTGCCATCATTAACTGATATTGCACGTTGTTTTCGACGTATTCTTGATATGAATAATATTTTCAACGAATGGTATCTATCATGTATCGAAGCATTCCATTATGAATGTCAACTCTTTGAACGTTTATCATCAACAAAATCGATTGATTCTATTGAATCGATACTTCAAAGTCTACAAAAACATCCATTTGTAAATGATGAAACCAATAAAGACATGGAAGAAAAATGGCAAGAATATTTATCGAGACGATTATTTTCACCGTTAACAATGGATACCAATGTGCTGAATGGTGAAGAAACCATGTTTACTATGCGATCTACTTTTCAACAATTCTTTAGGTAACAGAGAAATCAAATTCAAAAAAATTTTATCTAATTTTATCTTTAAAACATAAGTTTAACAAGGACTATCCATGCTAACAAATGACATCAAGGATCGTGACGAGTTTTGACAAGCTATATTCTTCACTTTCTCACATATTAATTGTAAATTAAAAAGAAAAAGTCAGAGAAAAATAAAACTTTGTCAAGCTGAAGGGTTTCTTCTCCTGTAGAAAGATACAGTCAATTTGTCATACTTGAAAAGAATTGTTTTGTCCTTTGAAAGTCGAATCTTGAAATTTTTTTGTCATGAAAAAGAAAAGAAAAGCTTGTTTCTTTAGTTCTATGAAATCATAACCAAAAATAACTGTAACTTTTGTCAGAACTTTTGTAATAATCATCAACTGTTCATCGAGAAATTGATAGACGTCTAAAATGATACTTTTTATAGTTTTCATCACTATCATACATTTTGTTATTCGACAATAAAAAATAAAATAAAATAAACGTTCAATATCTGAAAATATTTTTTCGTCATAGATCCATTGCTTGTATGTCTCATCAGTCACGTATTTGGTCGGCCGTTATGGAAACATTAACACGAACATTACCAACCGTATTTGACAGCTACGCAAATCCGAGTGAGGCTCAAATCTATTTAAGAGCATGTATGGAACCACCTATTTCATCGAATTTTATCTATTTAATTGTTAAATCATACCAGCGAAATATTAATCTACTCAAAGAAAATTTTAATCTGGTTTTGACTGTAATTGAAAAGCTTCTTATGTTGAATTATCTGACAGAAGCTCGTCAATTTGTCATTCAAGTAGTTCTTGAACATTTCGATGTCTTTGTCAATATGGAAGCTTTAATTCAGATGCTTATTCGTGTATGTCCACTCATCCATGCTGATTATCGAAATGATTTCTGCCAAGAAATTCTCTCATCTATTACGTACAAATTAGGCAACGTTAAATGTAACAAATCACTTGCATCTCTCTGTTTCGATTTAATTCTTTGCATACTTAATCTATGTGTTATACAAGCACCTAAATGTGCCGAAAGTTTACTAGAAAAAAAGGAATTCTATCCATGGAAAGAACTAGCACCTCGTTTCAACGATCTTGTTCGGTCATGCATTGCCTACGAACAAATTGATATGAAATCGTATTGGAGCGATCTTGACAGTCTTGGCAGTATTCTCAGACTAACGGCCGATAGAGCAAAAATTAATACGATTATTTTTCGAGCTACTCACGATCAAGCTCTGCAAGCTATACTTCGATGGTCACGATCAATTGACAATGACAATACGAAAGTATGGTCCACGCATGTCTACAGAATGGCAGAAGTTATGTTAGATCTTATTGATCAGCAAAAGATCACGGCCAATACTTGTATTCAATTTCTTAAAGCACTTCACCAGAAAGTAGTCGATAATCAACAAGTTGATTATGAGGAAAGTATCCTTCCACTAATGCGATCTTTTTTTACTGTAAGTCAACTATTTTACTAGCATGATTCGTTTGAAATTCCATCTAATTCTTTTGTGCATAGACGTTAGTCACACATTTGGCTAAGTACATTGAACTTTTGAAAACACTTCCAAATGAAGTTCATCACGAGTTAGCTTCGTTTATTCTCGCTACACTGGCATGTCCAATTCAATATGAAAATGGACAAACTTCATTTGAACATATATCAGCTATGCAACTTTGGTATAGAATTGGTCAATGTCTAACGAATGAAGCAGATGCACGTCTCTATGGATTATGTATCAAAAAATTGTATTCACTTGCATGCGATGATAATGAACAAACATTTTATGATTGGTGGTCGATGTTTTGGAACACGGTTGGTATGAAATTACCCAATGTAGCTGCCGATTACGTTGAAGATTTTCTGAGTGATACAATCGATCGAAAACATATTGCTGTTACGTCACTACTTCCTGTAAGTAGCCGTACGATGTGTGTCTATATAGTAGGATTAAAACTTATTAGTAGAGAACTAAACAGACAGTATTCTTTGTTTGAATCAGTAAAAACGTTTGTTTTTACTTCTGGTCTTGTCACCTTCTTTTTTTCTTCCTAAACCATATTGTTAATTCTTTTTCTTAGATGCTCTACAATAAAAATCCGGAACCATACCATGCTCGATTGAATGATTTGATTAATGTGATTTTCGATGGTGACATGTCACATGTCTCATTATTAGGACATTTATTTCTAGTCATTGTTAAAGAACATCCTGAACTGATTACAGTTAATCAACTTGATCATTTATTCACTTCAATTGAAGGTCGTACGGATGTTGGATACGAACTGTTTTCCATTTTTCAAGGACTTGGATTAGTAGCCAATGCAAAACCTAACCTATTTCATAATTATCGTAGTGTACTCTTGCGTTTTATTGTTGAACAACATAATTTATCAGCATTTAATTGTCTTCAACAATATTTTGTTGCTTCAACAATTATTGGTGGTGAAGAGACAGCTAATGAATGTCTCACAATTCTTATTAATCTGCTTAAAACTGATAATGGAATTACAAATGATATTCGTATACAAATTTTTCATTCATGTCAACTGATTGGTATTATAAACAAAAAAACACTTCAAACAAGACGAACAGATTTGATAGAATTCCAATCGTATACTGAATGTCGAACATTGATCGATTTTATTGATGGAAACAAAATGAGTGAAGAAAATCAAGGAATAATTAATCGAACGCGTGATGAACTTGAACACATAGAGAAACGTGTGGTCAAAACGGAGAAAGATGTGCACAATGTCAAGACTACGGTCAAACGACAAGAATTGAAGGTAAGAATTGTTTTTATTTTAAATATTGCAGGACAAGTAAATTGTCACTATTCTAGCATTCATCATTTTTATTTTTTACCTAAAACCTATCTGCTCTCAAAGCTTCAGGATTTTTCCTTGAAGCATTCTCTAGAAATCTCGCAATGGGAGAACTTCACTTAGTTATACTTGTATTTAACATAGAAATATATTGTTACACTAATTTGATCGATATTGTCTCGATTGAACACATTGTAATACAAGTTGATATTGTTTTCTTCTTGAGTTATAAAAACAGACTGAAACATAGATGATTTTTATTTTTTTTATTTTTATATAGATAACCAATCTTGATGCACGAGTTAATGTGGTTGATACGCAGTTGAATAACGTGACCGAACAAGTGCATGTACACACAAAAGAAATTGAACGAATCGATGCAAAAACATTGAGTTATGTGCCAAGTGAATGGGGTCATCAAGTATGTCAATTACTAAATGTCAAAGTTGATAATGATTGGTGTTTACTTGGCAAACGTTTTGGTTATTCGGCAAGTGAATTAAGACATTGGTCTATGCAAGTCGATCCATGTATGACTCTACTAAATGAATGGTTTATGACGCATAAAACTGATGAAGCCACTTATGGACTTGTCAAGATGCTAGAAGAGATTGATCGACAAGATGCTGCAAAAATAATTCGAGAAGCAGTTGCAGCTGCCGGTGAACTCATCCCTGATGATATGCCAATAGAAATCAAGCGTCTACCACCGATTTTTCTTTCCTATCAATGGGGAGCTCAAAAAGCTGTCACAAATCTCAAGAATCATCTTGAAGCAGCAGGTTATTTATGTTGGATGGACACAGGTCAAATGGGTGGTGGCGATAAATTGTTTGCTAAAATTGATGCTGGTATTCGCGGCGCTAAAGTTGTTATATGTTGTATGAATACGGCTTATGCTCAATCGGACAATTGTTTACGTGAAGTTCATCTATGTGTCAGTACAGGAAAACCTTTGATACCTTTACAGATGGAAAAACAAACGTGGCCTCCTGAAGGTGCTCTCGGTCCTATTATGAGTGAATATTTGTATGTTCGTTTTTATGATCGTAAGTCGAATGCAGACAATTATTGGCCAAAGGACAAATTTACTGAACTTCTTGGTCAAATTCGTTATCATGTCGCACCTGATCCAGATATGATCACCGAACAGTATTACAATTGGTTTGTACCACAAATTAACAATCTAATTTTTCTTCAGCCGACATCAACTGATGGAAAAGACAAGAAAATTACGTTGAAAGAAGATATGCCAATGGCTATCACTCATCCACAAATTATGATTTCCTATCAATGGGATCGTCAAGCAGATATTGTTGCCTTATATCAACGATTAACACGATTAAATTATCACTGCTGGCTTGATATATTTCAAATGGGTGGTGGTGATTCTTTATTCGAAAAGATTGATGCTGGAATTCGCAATGCAAAATGTGTACTCGCCTGTGTGACACCTAAATATACTAAATCAACTAATTGTCGTCGAGAAATGTCATTAGCTGATGCTCTAGTTAAACCTATTGTACCATTATTACTTGAAGACACCAGTACATGGCCACCGCCAGGTCCAATGTCACTTGTCTTTACTGGTAAGACATATATTGATTTTCGTTGTTCGAATACTGACGTACAAGATGGTGATATTTGGACAAGTCAAGAATTTGATAATGTACTTCGTCAATTGAAAGAAGCTATACCCGAAGTTGAAACTAGTGCAGTCCAAAAACCTTCGTCTGATATCAAACCATCTGCAATACCAGTAGCAAAACTCGCTGACAATGAAAAACAGTCAGAACATGTACAGAATGCACCTAAAATCCAACAACAAAGTCGATCATGTTGTATCATTTAAATCATTCGTAATATATCCAAACAATAATTTGACGTTACATTCGCTTGCTTATATAAATGTTGTCTCCTACTGTAATGATCTCTTTAAAATTCTCGATTATTGCAGTATTCGACATGGACATGAGTTTGAGCATCTCCTTTTATTTGCTCTATATAGTCTAATGTAAAAATTCTACAATGATTTCATTCTTTTTTCTTTAGGAATTTGTGCACATCGTTTGTTCATTATTCACACGAAAACCGTTGCACTTACAGAGGAAAGGAAATATTACGCTGTAATGCTCATTAAGAATAGCAAACAGATCAACTGTAAAAGTGATAAGTCATCTGCTGCATGATAAGAAGATATGTTTTCATAAGTATTAAAGCCACTCAATATAATTATTTGTCAAAGCAACAACCTCAAATACTATTTCGATTCTATTTCGAGTATAACACTGGCATAAATTCTTTGATAGTTTTCTTGTTCTGCCTATGCTAGACTGAATATGACAGTTCTACTCGTTATATTTTGACAAAGGTAAATTACACTAGTTGCATCACATGAATCTTTTCCACGAAACAAATGAAAAATTGCTTCCTACAATATTCTTGCTTGATTCTTTTTGTTTTCACGAAATAGACAATATGTTTGTATAAGATATCTTTTAGTGCTTGATTTCATATGTATAGAAAAGGTTTGAGAAGTAATCAATAAGTGGTACACTTTGCAGATTGTTAATAGTTACTTAAGGCTGTCCAAAAGTAGTGACGGAAGTACTTTAGTTCTAAATAAAAAGTTTGAAAAAATTTTCTTTTTATATGCAGTGATAGTACAAACAATGTTCTATTTTTCTATGATATATGACAGTTACAGTAGTAATTACCTGGTTTAATACAAGGGTAATGAAAGATTTTTTGAATAAATTTTGATAAAAATAAGATAGAGAGCTGCAGTTTTCATCATTCGAAAGAGAAGATGAAGGTGCATCAAGTCGTATATCCAAGGTTTTTCTAGTATGTTGTTTGAAATTTGTTTAGTGAATTTTCTAAGCGTCGAAAAAATGAGTACTTTTTATCGAAAATGAACTTCTGAATAATTGATTCTAAACATGTAAGCCTTGTGCAGTTTCATTGATCTTCCAATGACGATTTGAATATACACCTGACAATTGAAAATTCGCTGTAAACATCTCACGTGCTAAATTAGGTTTCAGAGAGGTCGATTGAAAACCTTTAAAAAAAATCAGGTAAAACACCCTATAATATATGATTCGACTCATCTGCATCTCTTCCTTCAAATAATGAAAACTGCAGCTCTCTATTTTATCAAAATAAGTACTACTATAACTATTTCCGATAGTAATTTTGGATGCCCGTTAGGATAATTAATAAGTTGTTTTCGTGTTGTGAATACACACACGTCGAGAGTGAATGTAGTGCAATGCATATAAAGACTCGGTAGTTTATCATTCTCCCTGTATGTATGTATGTTATCTGTGATTACAATTCAATAAATATGCACGCTTGATTCGTTTTCTCTTTTCATTATGCAGTAACTGTCGATATTTTTGCGCTGTTTTACTTCCTTTATTGCAGGTAAATCTATTTAATTCAAATCGATCAAAATCACTCAACATCACAAAAACCAAGCAACTACTCTTTCCCTCCTATCTTGAAAGTGTGAGTGAATCTATTGAAATTATATTTAATTCTTTTATCAAAGATTTTTTCAACGAAACAACTTGATGTGAAATCTCATGAATGTAGAATTTGAAGATCTATCAATCAGTAATTGTTGTAAGTTAAAAGCGCTCGGAGCGTATTTTATTAATACTTGAAATGAAACTAAGAGTTTCAGAATCACAGGACATATTTTAAACATGAATTGTTATTTTTTCTTTAAAGATTATTGAACAAGTCAAAAAAATGAATGATCATAAACGTTTAATTCAACATGATGAATTCGAAATGGCAAATGATTTTTTCGATTCAAAATAAAAAAAGATGAAAATATTATATTGATCTGGCTTGATAATCATATCGATAATATAATCAAAGACTTAATGATACAAATAAATTATGATGATAAAAATGAATTTGAAAAAATAATATTAATTGTAGCTGGATAATATTCATACGAAATAATACCATTAATTCATTATAAAGATCAAATTTATAGTATCTATATATTTTGTTTAAATTCAAATAAATATCAATCACTTATAAATATTAAGAAATACAGAAAAATTAGTTGGTATTTATACAGAATATAGACAATTATTCGATACAATACAAAAGAAATTACGTTTATTTTATCAAAAACAAAATGCTGCTCATCTTTTCTTCCATGATTTAGCAGGATATTTGCTTTATCACCAGTTAAAATGTTTACGATTTCTAATGCCAAAAACTGATGATACTAAAAAAGAAATGTTGAATAGTTGTCGATACTATTATACAAAATAATCCATCATAATTGAGACTAATCGATGAATTCGAAGATAAATATAAACCACAAGATGTAATATCTTGGTATACTAGTCACTCATTTCTTTATCGTATTATTAATAAAGCTTTACGTACTGAAAATATTGATGCACTTATTAAATTATGATACTTTATTATCGATCTCTGTAACATGTTAAAATAAAAATATGATAAACAACAACAATAAAAGCAAACCAAAACAGAAAAAGTATATCGTGGTTTGAGATTAACCGATATTGAAATTGAACAATTGAAGTTAAGTTTAGGATGTATTATATCAACAAATGACTTTTTATCAACTACTTCATCATCTATGACAGCTGAAATATTTGCAGCAAATGCTTTATTTGAAATTGAGATCGATAAATCGTTTTCAAAACAAAATAATATTATTTATGTTGATATATCTCGTTTAAGTTACATGCAAGATGAAAAACAGATATTATTCGATTTAGGTACGTTATTTCATGTTACTAACGTGGCTTATAATGATGATCGTCGTTTATGGTATTTATCATTAATAACTATTGCTGATGATGACAAAGATATAAAGAATAAACAATATAATAAAATTATAAAAATTTCCAATGAGAAAAATATTGATGAACAACTACCATATGTATTTTTATTGCTGTTGTGAAGGAAATAGGATTGTATGAAAATACAATTTCTTTTTTTGAAAAATCTTTGCAACTTAAAATTATAAATGATACAAACCTTGATCGAAATCTATACCAAGACTTAGGAATAGCATATCTTTATACTAAACAATATGAATTAGCACAGAAATATACAACGATTACGTATGATATAACTTGTAAAAGAAATGATAGAAATGAGATAGCAGCTTGTTTATCTTTTCTTGCTATGATTATTATGAGACAAGATCAATACGATTTAGCTCTTTACTATTTCGAACAAGCAATACAGAAAAGAGTCATTACCAATGACGGAGGAGATTATCATACTCTATTAATGTGTCATTATAATATGGGTGAAATATATTTATTAATTATTTTATAGATAATTATCTTTATGCAGCTAAGCATGATAAGCAAACGTTGGAAATATTTGATATCGCATAAGAGAAAATAATTCTAATCCTCAAGTTGGAGAAATATATTGTTCAATAGCAGATCGTTATGTCTGTTTAAAAGTTTTTAAAAGTGTATTACATTTTTGTTTGAAAGCATTAAAAACTTATCAAGCATTTTTACCGGTCAATCATTAAAATTGTGCATCTTTATTTTATTGTATGAGTAAATATTATTACGAAACAGAACAATATAATTTATGTAAAGAATATAGTGAAAAAATATTGTTACATCAAAAAAAGATTGTATAAGAGTTACGGAAGACTTAATGAATTTTCATCAGTATCTCAGTGTTTGTTATAAGCTGGAAGGAAACTATGCAATTTCCATAAGGCATTTCAAAAAAGTGTTAATACTAAATGATAAATTTCCACCATAATCATTTAAGCCTGATTTTGGCATCATCGAAAATAGTGAAGAAATCGAAAAATTATATCATGAATTGGAACAATATGATCAAGCTATTGAATATTTTTCAAATGCTATAAAAAATGTTCTTCTATTGAGCAGATAGAAGCATTAGAGAATATCATCTATATAAATTTATATATTGGATTATCAGCACAAGAAACAAATGAGCATAATTTTAATTCTATTACAGACTCATATGTTTATTGGTATCTCATATAATGAAAAACATACGAACGAACTAACTATCGAACATTACAAAATGGCAATACAATTGCTAGAAGTACATAAGGAAGTAATTGGTGATGAAGAGCATTTAGAAAAAATTGCACATTTACATTATTTAATAGGAGATTCTTACAATATCATAGATGATGATCATACTTCTATTGAATATTATGAGGCAGCTTTGAAGTATAACATCTTATCATCTTCAATAACAGATGAACTACATACATATCTTTCAGATTTATATATAAAATATATCGAAAAATATACTCTTGTTATTGAACATTTAAAGCAATCATTAAATATAAAAATAAATCAAGACAATGAAAATATTCTCGATATAGCATTGTTCAATAATGAAATTGGATGGTATTATTATATGATTAATGATTGTATTTCAGCATTGTTATATTGTCAAGAAGCAATGAGCTTCTATGAGCAAGATTCAAATGCGCCTGCCACAAATATGGAGTATGTCTTCTCTACTATAAATTAAATGATCATAATCAAGCCGGGAATTAATGTTGGAAATCAATATCAATATTAAAACAAGATATGTCATCCATTGAGGATTACGATTTGACATATGCATTAAATTACGAAATATTTCGTAGTATTTTTTCATCGAAAAACAGAAAAATTTTGACATATAGTTGTTTAAAAAAAACTTTGGTTTTGTTTCAAAAACAAGAACTGAATGCTTACAGTAATCATGCAACAACTATCCAGCAATTATTAGATGAACAATTCAACATCAATGAAATCCATGACAAAATTGATAATGAATTGGAATGAACGACCATTAAATTTGAATCTTTTTCGTTTATTTATCATGGCAACGTTAAATCATGTTGGAATTTTTCGATTTTTTTAAAATCGTTTGACAATCAAAACTATTCAATTAAATCATCGTGGTGAGAAATGTAAGTCTTGGAGAATTTTTTTGTTTCAAGCTTTGATTAAGAATATGTTGAATATCTCAATAAAAACTCATGTTTTCTCATTGAAGATAACTTTGAAACTGGATTCAAAAATATGAAGTCTAGTAAAGAAAATATTATAGTACGAATTTTGGCCATTTTCTTATGTCTTCAGCCTTTAGCACTTATACCGTGCATCCTCAGTCTTGATTCAAAATATGATATATCATGTAATTGTTAGTAAGCGACATGTCTTGTGAGTATCCAAAGTAAATCTATTATTATGATTTTTCATGATTAGAGACAAAAATATTATTTATTCGTTAAATTTTTTCAACTGTTCGTCTATTCACAATGGATAATTTTTATGAAAGAATCTGTTCTATAGTTGAAAGTATGTATTGATGATGAGAAATAATGTTAAATAACAGGAGTAATATTGAAAGATTAACCTATTAAAAAGTAAGTTTTTCATGAAATCATAACATTTCAAGATGCTGAGAGGGCGTAGTTGTGGATATTGTTTTCCCTCATTCTACATCTTATACCAACACACATTCTTGCATAGAGATCTATGACAATAACAAGTCTTCAGAGTAGACATCATCGATCCTATTCAAAAGAGTTCACAATAGATAAGTGATCTGAACAATACTGACTGAGCTCCTTAAAAAGAGAAATTTTCGACAAGAAGATAGACATGATTGCCAGTTACAGGCAACTTTAATGAATACGGAAATCATGTCAAAGTTATTGGTAATTTTTTTTCGTCATAGAATGTTTGTTCGACAATATTGAAACCATTACAATAACTAAAATGATGTCTTTCAAAGATAGAAGATACGTCTTAAATAAAAAAGACTCGTTCAGTTACAATGAGTAAATATTAGTTTAATGGATCAAACTGACTTGCCACAATATCCACAGATGGTCTCTAGAACAAATTTCTTATATAGATTAACTTGTATTCTATTATTTGAAGAATGCATATGCTGAAATTTTCGTATAGTAGATCGGTGAAAGCTCTTTTCTTTTTATACAAGAAATTTTAATTTCCTGATGTACTTTTGTCAATAATTGCATATTTTACAATGATGACTAATCCATATGTTACTTCCTATTTTTGTGATACTAGTCATTATACGACTCACTTTCACCTACGAGCTTGAAAATTTGTCATGCATGCAACTATCCACCGTCATATTGGTGGCGTGAGCATTTATTTTTATCTGTGTTTGTTTAATCTTATTTTTTTTTTGTAATTCTGACTCAATGATAGTATGTTTTTTCCTTCTCTTATTCTATATCACAGAATAACTAATTTTATCGATCACTAGAAACATCGACGTAGTAAATAATGGGGAAAGCTACTTCGACTATCAACAACAAGGATGTACCTTCAAACTACCATACGGTGGCTATTTGTCCAAATCTTCCAAGGGTAAAAAAATCTTATAAGAATGAAAAGCTCAAGAATCTTCCACCTATGGACTACTGGATAAAGAAGATTGATAACGCGATCGATAAAGAACGCTATAAAATTCAACATATCGTTGCCAATGGTCCTTGTGAGTAATATTAACTTTGTTTGTTTTTATCAACAAAAATTTTTTTGTGTTCAGATACATCGTCAACTCAAAATCATGCAATATTCTCGGCATTTCTTTTTGCTTACAATTCACATGAAGACATTATTTTATCTCCAGACGATATTTGGCTTATGATTTGTATCTATTTTTCGCAATATATAAACGAAAATGCCCAACAACTTCGAACACTTCTCATTGAACATAGTGGTCGAAAACGGTTGATTGTTGAACAATCAGACATGATTGAACCCGAGTGAGTCATTACATTTCGAAAGAAATTAAAATAAAAGTATTCGTTATATTTTGTAGTTGGAAGAATTTTTTCGAGCATATGCAAATAGAGTTAGGCAAGAATGTGAAAAACGATGTCATGGAACTGTTGACATGCAATTTTTCAACAACAACTAAAATTGAATCATTCCTTTCATGTGTAGCCATCATGGATATATTTAAAAAGTACTTCGAATATGAATACTATATTACTATGTGTGGTATACGCAATGTTCACTTCATGGGTACACTCGAAGATTGGAAGCTTCTACGTAATAAGACTGCTAAACTCAAGAATTTGACTGCACCCACTCGTGATAATTTCGGTAGTTATATCGATGGTCTATTACCTATAATTGATCAATTTATTCAAACGTATCAAGGCAATGTCGATAATCAATTCTGGAACAAGGTCATGGATATCGAGCATGTTGGTGGTGGAGAATCGGGAAAGTGAGCATTTAGCATGAGACATCTGATGATGCAGAGATTCACAGTTGTGTCCATGAGAGAAGAAAGACAAATCAAATAAGTTAGTACTAAGGTTAAATCGAATGACAAAAACTAAAAAAGATTGGATAAAATTAAAGAGATAGCGGTCTCAAAAACCCTGTGTAGCTTTGTATGAATTCACAGAAAAATATCTATCGACGATCAGTTTACAAAAACTTTACTATTATCAGACACTCATTAATAAATGAGCCCATCGATAATTAGAAATAAGTTGCGAAAAGTAAGCAGACTGAAAGAATCTTAAAGCTCGCTCAGTTCATCTTATAAAGGTTTGGTCCACTAAATGAACATGAAGAAAAAGATAAATATATACTAAATTTTCTTTACATTTTTCAGAATGTCTGGTGCATACGTGAGTGGATGGTTTCTTCATCTATGCTATGGATTACATACAAATCGTAGCTCTGAAATCAAAGAAATACAACTTAATTCACTCAGCGTGCCTATCACAATAAAAAATGGATTGATTAATGAATCAAAAACATGTTACGTAGTTGGAGGCTTTCACGGAGTCGAATCACGTGATGGACGCCATAAACCAGTGATCAGCCTTGCCATCATAGATGATACAGCAACAATCAAATCTTTATAACAAAGTTAACCATCATATACACAGACTCGTTGTTTATTTTAGTCAAGAAACGATTTTATAGTACTTTATATATAAGAAATAAACGACAAGAATTTTTCAATTGTCTATATTTTTAATCATCGATTGAAATAATTAAACTAATGTTCTATCTAGTGTTTGCCAAAGTGATTCAGAGTGGACAAAAAGTCAAAGATAAACCGTCAAACAACCGTTTAGAATTATATGTGTTATACAGGCAGCATAGTAATGCTTGAACAAGTGACTATCTTTTGACTATCTCCTTCTACTGCAGTATGTCATCTGAAACGATTGTATGCCTCATCACCGAAAGCGAGATCGATGCTCATGAGTTTGTCTTTTCTTAGGCATCAAACTAGGCACTAACTTATTACAGCAGTGTCACATATCCAAGATTTTGGAGATGCCACCACATCTCCTGCGGGAGATGCTGCATCTCGCGCGAGAGATGCGAGTGTGGGTGTGGGGGATGCGTCTCTCTAAAGGAGATCTTACATCTCCAGTGGTGAATGACCTCATCTCCCGAGTGTGGGTGCCGCGTCTCCCGC